TGCCTTCATACATCTCCTCCTACATGTCTCTGCGTGAGTGCAGCTACAGCGTGCGCTCTCAGGACATTATTACCTGCAGTGTTCCCTCAGTGAGGACTGAACTAGGCAAAAGGGCCTTCTCCTACTCCGCTCCTGTTTCCTGGAATATCTTACAAAAAGATTTGAAGCTCTCGACCTTGACCTCTCTAAGTGGCTTTAAGAATCTGTTGGACTCCTGGCAGGGACCAATGCAGACATGTTCCTGTTTTTAGTTTTCTACATTTGCCTTAGAATCTAGCTGTTTTTTTTGTTACCTTTTCCTTTTAGCCATCCTATCTGTAAAAAAAAAAAAAAAAAAAACCCTGCAGTATGACTTTTTATAATTGTTTATTGATGTTGCTGTTGTCCATTGTTGTCATCTTTCTTTGTTGAAATCAGGTCTCTCTTGTAAATGAGTCCTCGAGGCTCAATGGGATTTACCTGTATAAATAAAGGTTGATTGATTGAGATATATATGTATATATATATATATATATATAGACATATAATCAAAATCTCATTATTTTTATAACATAATTGGTGCCTGCCGTGTTCGACTCGTTAAAGAGCATTCTTATGCAAATTATACACACAGAAAAATTACTTTCTATGCTGGTTTGTTGAATTTTGAGCATAAAACTATGTTTAAAGCTACATTTTTCCTCTGTGCTTCGTCGGTTCCAAGCTGTGTCCTGCATATCTGCGTGTGTCTCCCATTTGAAAAGGTGGGGGCCACTCTTCTCAGACATTTTATAACCAATTGAGTCCAGCTGGATCAAACCTATGGTTTGAAGATTTAATAAATCCTGTTTTCAAAAATTTTATTGAAATATTTTAGATTTTAAGCCGCAACAAACGGTAAATCTAAAATATCAGAGCGGACTTTGTTAGCATTAGCGTAGCTAACTAATCGCTAACGGCCCGTTTAATGACACTTCAAACGGTAAAAAGTCCTAATCTTATTCACTAAGGCAAACCGACAGAGTCGTGTCTTTATAGTGAAAATTTAACGGCAAAAAATCGGTTTGTAAACCATCCAAAATTGTGTTTTTGGATCGGTAATAGCAGCTAAGCTGAGAAGCTAAGCTAAGCTAACAGGCCGACTCCGGCTAAAGTGACGCTTCGTTGGTCCAAATTTGTGGAAAGACTGTCATGCTAGAAAGCTGATCACGTGTAAAGTTCTGTTTTCTCTGTGAAAAGAAGTTTAGAATTTGTTTAGTGACTTTATTAAATGCTTGTGCTGACACAAAAGGCTAATATGTTCCAAAACCGTACGTCCACCTTTTTTTTTCTCCCTTGTCCTGTCCGGCATTGTGACACTTAGAAGTATTGTCTGAGTGTCAAAGTAATGCACAACAGATTTACTTTCACAAGCAGAGCATTATGGTTGGCCTTAATGCTCCACTTGATATGAAAATTAATTTTATTAGAATTTTCTATGGGCTTGTTTCAGATGTAATTGACATGGGGATGAAAAACAAAGAAGATGACAAAGCAGAAATTGAGAGAGGGGTTAAAAGGTAACGAAGGAGATAGGAATAGAGGAGAGAGAGGTACAAAGAGAACACAAATCAACATCATTGAAGTCTGCCTCTAGACCTGCAGAAAAAAAAGACAAAACAAAACTGAGAAACCACAACAACAAACAACATATCTTATGATACTTGTAACATCATTAGAAAGTATTTTATACAGTACATGGTAATACAAGATTTATTTGATGGCCACCACAACCCAACTGAGTGTGTATCTGATAAACACCTGAATCTAAACACCTGTGTGAGCATGCTTGTCACTATAAGGTTTCTCCATAAAAATGTTCAATAGTGGATGTGGGGACCCACAGACCCATTCCCACAGGACATGATGGTAACACAGGGAAGATCGGAACCACAGACACACAGCGGCCCCTGTCCAGTGAGGTTGTTTGGATTGAAATAGGCTCTGCTATTGACACCCAAATGTGACAGATTGTGCTCTACACTATTATTAAAGTGGCGTACAATATTATATAGAAGTAATCATAACAGTATTGTATTCATGCATGATGTGATTATTGTATTCCATACTGCATCATGTGAT